CAGTCGACACTTATAGGGGTAAGAGATGCCGATTTATGTAAAGTAAAGGTACACGCGGTTGCATGTTTTCAAATTGCACAGGCCTCGCAGGCGTATGGGGTCGTGTCCGGCGTCGTCACACGATAGCATGATCGTCTTTACTAAGAATGTAAAAGAGGTGGTCCACAGACTATGTAGTACTGTGTACTGCTTTGGGAACCAGCACTGCAAGTGAATAGGATTATACACTCTTGCGAATCTCCGGCTTCCTCATCCGCTGACACTAGCCAGGAAACCCTCCTTCTGCGGAACAAATAGCCTACAAAGCTTGCAACTTTGCGCTCAAAGTCAAAGGCACTGTATCTCATGCAGTATTTGGCGAGCTGCCCGAATTTCCGAGAGACAGTGCAGAGCTCAGCGAAGAGCGAAAGGTCTGGATTGCTTTCTTGAAGCGAACTTTGTCTCCCATCTTGAGATGGGAACAAAGGCCGCTGATGTCCTGCAGAGGTTAGCTCCGAGATTTTCTGTGTATTTAGAAACATGCAGAGTCTCAAGTTCCTGGTTATGCCACGCTGATCACGGCTACTCTGCTCCCATGACAACAGAGATCCTTGGGCAGCTGGCTGAGTTTGAAGTGGACTTACATCTCTATAGCAAGAACGCCCATAAGACTCAGCGTTCGTGTGATCAGGACAATGTGCAGCGTGGAAGCCGATCTGTTTTCAAGCTACAACTGCTTTTGCCCAGACTTCTGTATCTGCACCTCGTCTGGTAGATCCAGAAGCTCTTCCGGGCTCCTTGCGAAATAAGATGACAATATGTTGGCTGATTGGGATTGATTCATGGTGAAAGTTTAGATTAACCTTTCTCCTACTGCTGATGCTACCTCCTGGGTCCCAGGCGCATGTGCAAGCATACTAGGCCAAGAGATCCCACTCCAAGGTACATACTCCAATGCTTCCAAGTCTAGACGAACTCTAATTACTACAACATACTAGAATATAATATACCATAATACACTGTAACATATCATAATATACTATAATATACTATAAGTTACCCTAAGAAAGTCTCCTGATGAGTTGTTCCTCCAGCGTCGACAAGACTTGTGCTGACAGGTCGCGCTCCGCCTGTTTGACCAAGGCGACTCAGAGCAAATGCAAAATGGTCGTGCTCGTGGCTCATGGTGCTTCATTAGAAGTGGCTGTATCGGTAGCAATGGGCTACATGCGCAGCTGTCGCGGCAAGCCATACAAGCCGCGGATTTATCAGACATCACTGGACAAGAACAAACATCTCTCCTTGTAGATGCTGCACTTGATTGCGCAACCATACACCACGGCATTCCTATCTAAATCCTTAGATATTTCCATTGCCCCTGAAAAATTGTGTAGAGCGTTTCGCGAGCATGACAGCCACTCCACATCAGCGAATGACCAGTTAGATGCTGTATCTCAAAGACTCGCAAAGAAGGTCAGACCTGCTTGAAACAATCGACAACCTTCTAAAAACATTGCGACTTTCTGACAGCACTTGTCCGAAACCGCAGAGCTGAAGGCGTGTCAGAAACAACCTGATGCTCGAACAATACCTGCAACCTCCTGATACCAAAGCATCCCGCCATCCTAACTCCCATGAGGCACCCCTACCTAATGTTGTCTACGAGCTTTCTTACGTGCCACCCCAGAAATAGCAAAATGCATATAGATGCTGTCATGGTTGGCCTAGCCTGATAAGTGGCTTCCTCAGGCAGATGCTCAATCGATGCATACAAACCAGCTGGTGTAGGATGAAACTACTCCTTGTACCACATTAAAAAAACACTTGCCACAATTGGTAGGCCTCGTTGTATAATTTGTTGGTAAGGTCTGTGGCACTTGCATTTCAACACCGGTCGATTTGAAATTCCCTCGCAGCGCGGCTACAGGAAGTGACCTTATTGTTCTGATGCCTTCAAGTCACATACCATACCAGCATGTGTGCTCACCTTATCCCGTGCAATGCAGCTGCTCGGTCTTAAGTGGGTGGCACGAAAACCTATAAAGTTTTCAGGCTGCACTCAGAAACTTTGTAGGGTAGAACAGAGAGCTGAGGAAGCCACACAGACTTGTGACATCTTGCTTCCCGCATCTGGGGCATGCGCTTGCACAGCCGTCTCCTCACAAAGAGCGTTCAGAGCTGACATAGGACCGTAGGTCATTGAGTTTGGTGTTCATAGGCTACATTATTGGCAGCTCTAAAAACTGGAAAACCCAAAGATATTTCCATGTCATGTTCCATTTATTAACGCCCTAGGTGTAATTTCCATGCTGGCACTTGCACCTGGCTGTTGCTCTTGTCTTCTGGCACCTCCTTGCTGAAGACTGCAGCTTCTTGCCCACCTGTTGGCTCCACTGGCCCCTGGGGGTCCAGGAGGCTCCGCAATTCTGCAAGTGCAACGCTTGCAGCGCTCTGCTCAGCCTGTGCCTTCTTTGCGCAGGAATCACCTGCCGGAAAAAATGGTTCACCAGAGAGCACTTTGATGCAAACCCGGCACCGGAAGTCAGACTTGCAAGATCCTGAGATCTCCAAGTATGTAATGTCGTCTTTGCCACAGGGCCTGCCCAAGAGTAGGTCAACGCATTCCTTCAAAATGCCCTTGCTGTTGGGGTCGCTGAGACCTTTGGTAAGGCGTTTTGCCAGCTCGGTCTTCACAGCCTGCCGCTGCTCAAGGGCTTCTGGATTGAAGTGGAGATGCCGCTTGCCGTGGGTTGCTTCGCGGGCAGTACCCAATGGTTCTGCCACGTCGGAACAGTTTTGTGGCAAGTGGTTCTGTGAGAGAAGGCCTCTCTCACGTAGCCTTGTCAGAGTTACAAAGGCAAAGCGCTCTCGCGTTGTCCAAGAAGTTATCTCCTTATGCATCTTGACTTCTTGAAGTGAGACTGTCAAGCACATGTCTGGAGCAGGTACAACGCACTCCTGAATGCTGGCTGAGTCTGGTTTGAAGGCATCGTTCAGGGACTGTTTTCCTGAGGAGGCGTGGCTGATGTAGTGGTTCAGCATGGAGAGGCAGTTTGAGCGATTAATCTCTGCTCCTGTCGCTGGATCGATGGAACTTCCAGCATCTGCCTGGTGTCGTGCAGCAACTGGCTCTTCAGCGGCCCGCTGTGCAACTCGGTGCACCTTCTCAGCAAGAAGCTTCTCCTCCTCCGGTTCATTCTCAAAGTATATCACCAAACCGCCTTTTCCGGCCCCACGGCAGCGGCCGGAACCTTGCACATGGCTCTTTACGTTGTGGAATGCATCAAAGCGGACCACTACGTTGCATGCCGGAATATCGATTCCTTCCTCTATGCTGTCTGTAGCTACCAAACACCAAACATCTTCGCCGCTGCGGAGTTTGGCAAGGCTGTTGTCCCTCAGGCCGTCTGCCATTGAGGTCCTGCCACTGATAGGTAGGACCCCGTGCTTGACCCTGCTGTTCAGCAGCTCTGCGAGCGGGTAAGTGGGCGCCACCTCTGCCACGAAAACAATGCAGCGCATCGAGGGATCTTCTTCCAGTAGCTCTTTCAGACGCTGGACCAACGCCTGGGCCTTCGCAGAGATGTCGTCCAGACCTGCTGGAACGCCTCGAAGTTTCTTGAGCAGGTCTCCTTGGCATGCTCGACGCATCTCTTCTAGCTGCGCAATCTTGCTCTGGAGCTTGGATTTCTGAGACTTCTGGCCTTTACTGAAGACCTTCATCTTGGTCTCCAGCTCATGCTGAATGTGTGGGAGAAGACCATGTGAGAAATAGAATTCAGCCCCCGCCCGACCCAGCAAACTCAAGACACTCCCAGCTTTGTCAGCGTGGCGCGTAAACATCTTCTGTAGATCCTCAGGCAAGTCTGAAAGGAGACTCTGCAGCAAGACTTTTGCTTCTTGAAGGAAAGCATTCCCTGAAACCAAGGCGGCTGAGGACTGATTGGCGACCAAGCGCTCAAAGTTGAACGTGGGCAAAAACTCTTGGATGTCTGCTTCTGCAGGGACCCAGATCGTGCCCGCAAACCGCTCCTCGAGTTGCTTGCGCTTAACCTCTAGTTTATTGAACCTCCCGTGCAAAAAGCAGGCTGTGAGGCCGACAAGCCGGGGCTTCGAAGGCAAGCCGGAAACCTTTTCCAGGATTTTTACGAAGGGATGGCCCCCAAGAGCGTGGTGCGCCTCGTCGAAGACCAAGAGCTTACAGCCATCCAAGCGAAGAAACGCATGGTCAATCAAAGCCTTGCGCAAGATCTCTGCCGTACAAACGATGACGTGGTTCCGACGGACAGTATGCCAGTACTCTGAAGTCCACTCTACGCGTCCTAGGAGCTGACGCGGAGCTCAGGGATGCTGGACATCTCGATGCAATCGGCCTGGCTGACCAAAGGAGCAACGTTGACAACCACTGCAAAGTGTTCTGGATCATCTCCTCCAAGGAAATGGTCGAGAAGCATGATCTCTACCAGGGTCTTGCCAGTCCCCGTTGGCAGGACTATGATCCTTGGTGAAATCTGAGATACCACCAACAAGGCTCAATCAAGTGTGGATTAGGCTTTTATACACACATGAAAAATGAACAGCTTCACCTCTGACATCTAGGAGCCGGTTCTCACTGGCAGCGGTCTTGAAAGCAGCCTCCTGATATGACCGGGGCAGCAGTTTGCCTTTCCATGGCTTCGGCTGCTCTGTTTCGTTCGGCCCGGTGAGGGGAACAATAACCTCTTTGACCCTATTAGGATCCTCGAGCTTCTCTGTGAAGGTCACTTCAGATGGCTCGGGACCAACAGCCTCCTTGCAGTTGGGACACTCTTCAATGCCCTGGTCCCAACAGGCCTTGCAAACCAACGCTTGGCAGTCCAACTCACAGTCCAAAAAGTAGGTCGGGACTTTAGCATACTCCTGGGACCATTCATCCTCATCGAGCTGGCAAAGCTGACATCGGCGAGCGTCGTCTCCCTTCTGGTAAACAACCTGAAGAGCACACAGTGATTACCACTGCTAGCTGCAGCCTGAATGTCTTTCAGTCTGATTCTAGAAGGGATGATTGGGAACTTGTTGAAGCCCCTGACACTGGTCAGCGCCTGAAGGTCGACTTCGATGTTTCCCGATTCATCAGCCTTCGCATTTATGTTTGGATGTTGCGTTGATATTTCGAGAAGTGATGGGAGGTGGGCTGCTCATTGCCATGATAGACGACAAGACGCAACATGACCTTGCAATGCTGGCTGAGTATTTGCGACTCCGCTTCAACGTTTAGGCAACATGCAGGGAAACGAAACACGTAACAAGCAGTGTTGCAACACTCTGCTTGGAAAGAACGGGTCAGCTGGAAGTACTCCGGAGAAAGTTCAAGCTCATAATATCTCAAAGTTGAAACGGGCCTTGTATTGAGAGGTAAACGTGACAGTTCCATCGAATTGGCTTGCTCAAGCCAAGCTGTCGATGTCACTCCAGTGAGGGCTTCTGTCTTCTGCATGGTGCTGTGGGGACTTGACGTTGCGGCTCCACCTTCCGACGCGTCACTCAATCTGTGTTCGAGCCATGCTCCCTTTCTGCTACCCACGCCGAGGCGGCGCTCGTGCCAGCCATCAAAGTATACAAGCACGCTTGAAGACGCTACGGCCGAACCAGCGCAGTCATACACACAATACTATGATTCTGATCACCACCAACAGCACTAGCACAACTCGTGAGTCTTGGCCTCTTGGCCGAAGATCTTGCACAACAAGCGACTTGGATCCTGCAAAGCTTGGACATGTCCCGTAACATGTCCCGTACATGAAGTGAAGTTCTATCTAGGAGCACTGACATCTTGGCAATGTGTAGAAGCCATTGACTCTCACTGGCAAAGCAGACACCAAGAAATGCCAACGTGATTGAGACTCTGTGGTCTCCAGCAATCTACAACACCCAGTGGATGGCTTGACGCTCAAAATGCCAATCCGTCTCTCCTTGAACTGTAGTGAATCATGAAGGGCATCTTCAACCGTGCTCCAAATGCGTTAGGCATACGACACCAGAGCATCTTCTGTCATGCGTCAAACTTTCGAAAGACCCCTTTGAAAACAAGAAGAGATTTAGCTTGATCCCATGCTTGCACCTTCAAGGCACCATCCTTCCACAGCAGCTTCGCCTTCGGACTAAGATGCAAGTGGGACCGTGCTTGAACGACTACCAGCACCAGCGAGCGAAGGGCAGCAGCGGCGCCAGACTCTCTTGGATAGCTGTTTCCGTTGGAGAGGCATGTCTGGTACATAAGGTTTAGAAGTGGCGACAAGAGGGGTTAGTTCATTTTTGGGTCGTTACTGGTTGTACGATCCTACAACAGCGACAGGGGAGAGGACGATGATGACGGCAGCTATAGCTCGTGCTTCATCATGGATGGCATGATCTGCCGTGTGGATACTCAAGCACGCACTTCCCGCTGCCTGATGGCCTGGCTTGGCCATCCTTCGCTTTACCAGCATCTTTGCATCCGCGACCTGAATCAAATGCTGATCGGGTGGCGCATGCAACAACAATCATTGTAGCCTTCAGGACTTGCCAGTAGGTGGTACTAGATGTATGCAACAACATGCTGCGGCATGGACAAGAAGGCGAGAGCTTCACCTAGCTCGAGTCGACAGGCCTTCGCATCCTCAGCGAAGCGGCCACGGCACAGCGCAGAGCCATCAACCCCCCAAAACGCGATCTGCATTGGGGGCATGTCCCTGAGCAGAAGTTGTCTGCGCACACACGTGCTTTGCAAGCAGAACGATGGTCTGTCTGCTCGATCTCAAACACATCTTGGTAAGACCAGTGCTTGAACAAATCTCAGCAAGGGGCTCTGGGAAATTGAACGGGGCTAAACATCAAAGTGAAACTGTGCGCCAAGGAGTTTGCTGTCATCTCCCTCGAGGATCAAAGGGCAGTCGAGAGCTTTAAGGTACCATCTTTATAAACGCTACAGTGCGCAAGTGCTTGAGATTCAAGACCTTCTAGTGGCCAAAGACCTCGCCCTTTTCTGCTGGTTTTGCCAGAGCTACCCGTTTTCGGGCGGGTTGGAGCACTTCGGCTCCCGTCATTGGGCTGCCGCAGAGACCTAGGCTTTGAGATTGATCTGACATGAAAACAAGGCCAAATTCCTCAGATTGTCGCTAACGGACTTTTCATGTATGCGTGAGCTCTCGGCAGGACTCCGCTGCGATTGCTGCAGTTTCTATTTGATTGTCCATGTTCTTTTGCATTTGATTCTCCACCATCCAGGTTATATAACCCTAACCTACGCTTTCGCGAAGGAGCCTGTTTATGACGGTCGCCTGACATGAAAACGAGAGGCGCGGACCTTAAGAAATAAACATAGCCGGGTAAACTCACATGAAATGCCATTGCAGCTTGATCCTTTCGCGAATGTCATACTTGCAATCGGCTTTCCAAATGCCTTCGGCCTCGCGATTCATCAAGATGTTCAGGACCCACTGAATGTACCTGCTGCATGGGTTTCCTGGTGATGCTTCTTTAGCTTCGTATTCGGAGCTGATTCCGCAAGCCTCCCAGGAAGCCAACCTTTTTCACAGACCTTGCGCGTCCTTGCGCAGCCAGTTCCGCACATGTTTTGGTGGTCACCTCAAATCTTGTGTCAACGCAAAAATCGCGCGTGGTGTGCACAATGAGCAGCATAAGCTTGCTGTCCGCACGCTTCCCATGGCACACAGCAGGACACACCAGCCCTGAGGGTACCGAAGAAAGGCATGGTTCGATGATTCCCATAAGCTTTTTTCCATGTCTCGATCCCTCAGCAGTCAACATCTTTGAGCCTCGTAGCCTGCATCTAACTTGAAGTGAATCTTCTGAAGTGTCTTTGATCCAGGGTCATTGATTGTTTGTTTGTGAGACCAGACCGACATGTACGCCCAGCCCAGCTGTAGGTGCTTCCAAATACACAATGGCTGCCCCTTCTGCAACTGACTACTTTTTGTGAAGGGCCCCGATGCAATCTGAAAAGGAGAGGGCCCATTGGTCGAGAACAATCCCACAGAGCCCGCTGCTCAGTTCAGCAGCAGATGCGTTCCAATTTCACCCTCCATTTCTGACCAGAGCTGGTACAGCCGATGACCTAAGGGGAAATGCTAGCCATTGCTAGCCTAAGCCATTGCAAGGATGAAGGTGCGCTTTTGTGCGCTAGGGAGGTCTGTTTTTCGTGAAAGGCTGGTTTTAAAAGCCAGCATGCGGTCGTTTCACGTTCTTGTCCGCATTCCTAATGAGCGCATCTTTGAGGTCATGATTTTGGATGAGATCCATACCCTCAGTCTGTGGAACTGTTCCGTTGCCGATAATGGCTGATTCCATGGCTACGCCCAGGCTACGCTTCCCACTTCTCCCCCCTACCCCCCCACTGTACCGCTGCGCCTCCTACTTCTAACTCATGCTAGTGTACTACTGCAGCCGCCCGTGCTACCGCTCATTCTGCTTTGGCCACAACTACCATAAACAACGGCCCCAGTAATGAAAGCATGTGACTTCCTCCGGTGTGTCGGACAGGTCGTCATGCGGCACAGTGCAGGCCGTAAGAGCCTGAGCCAACACTCAGTCAGCTGCCATGAGAACAAGATTGGGGGCTCCTAAAATCAGAGTTTCCTTTGCCGGCTTCCAATGTTGTATTAGGATTGAAGTAATCTTAGGGTGTATGAAGCGGACCCTATCTCATGAAAACCCTGAAGTCCTCTATCAAAAGCTAATGCATGAACCCCTGTCTAGCCTCATGCATTACCTTGAGCCAGAGCCGGAAAGTGCATTTGGAAGTATCTGAGCGGAATCATAGATTCCTAATCCAAAATGCCAACCTCTCATGCCCAGCAGCCCTCACTGTCCAAAATTTCGGCCACCAGGTTTAATCACTTGGGGTTTGTTCTCAGTCATGGGCCGTTTTAGCGGGACCTCAATAGAATCAACTTACTGGGCTACAATTGCAGTTCTGCCCCGTGCATGTGAGTGCCTGCCATATGGAGTCTGTGAAACCTCAACGCTGTCTACGCCAAGCAGCACAAAAGAGTCCGCAGGGCACCCAGAACGCCATACCCAACAAGAAGGAGTCCTGCCACAGTGCTTGCCAAGCTGGGCTCCAACCGAAACAGACTCCTACCTCTCCACCCAAACTTTCTGCATCGTTGCTATACCATGGAACAGGCAATTGCAGTCTGACTCGGGTGAGCTACTGCCCGACCCAGCTTTAGTCATCGGACTTGACTACCGGAAGTCCAACTGTTGAAGCGGAGCACGCTTTGTGGAGCGGCTTCATCTGGATGCAACCCGCACTCTCCACGCAGAACCATTAACCGATTTCAGCGAGCTCACACACAAAAAAAGTGTTAAAGCGGATATTTCACGAAGCTCAACATCCTCCAACCGCATGTCCTGGCGTCCCATGCCCCGCACAAAGCTGGAGACCAAGGCAGGCCCCAATCCCTGGCATTTGGTGACGCTTTTCAGCAGTTGAGGAACTTTCGGAGGGGCACTAGACTCTTCTGAGACTATCAAGTAAGCAGTTTCAATGAGGCAGCTCATGCAATGAGCAACTTTCGATGCCTTGCAAGTCGGCTTTCGACACACAGCAGAAAGAAGGACCCCAAGATTCATCCAGCAAAGCGGTGCATAAAGCATTCAACATGTGGGTGCGCCCTCGCCCCTGCCTTGCCCAAGTCGTCCATTATGGTGTATACCTAAGGGTTCATCTACGTGCCTGTTTGAATCTGCACATACCAAAATGTGTAGGACGTTCACGAGATACCAAGGATGTAGGACCTTGATGTAGTTTTCAGAGTGGCATCCTCATGCTATGCCCATGCCAATGTCTACCTCGAGACAGATTGGTACACATGAGCAGGGCTATGATAAAACCAGCTGTAGAGTATATGAGCTAGCTAAGGAAGCTGATTCGAAGTCAATTGGGTTTCAAAGCTGCGCTTTGCCATAATATACATCTCATCTCAGAATGCACCAGCCTGCTTACATGAAGACATGGCGAGGTACTGGACCTCGCATGAGGAACACTACATCTTAGGAGCCAGCGGCTTGGAAATACAGCTGCAAGATTTTCTGAGGATAGGGCCCCTAGTGAAGGGAATGCGTTGTCCATGACGTGCACCCAACTTCAAGTCCAGTGCCGTGAAGACTCGCATGAATATCAAGGATTCATTCAAGGATCTATCTGCAGCTCACAGAAAAGTCTTAGAGCGCGATTACGTGTGGACTGAACAGTTTAGCGGAGCACTGAAAACACTAGAACCCTTAAATCCCATAAGATGTGGTCGACCCACAGTGTTGGCAAAGTCACCCCGAAGACCGTGCCCCGCGAGTGGGTTTCCACGACGTTGAGCAGAACAGCCTTCGCATTCCTGACGCTGGCTGGGCATTCCCAACCAAACGCACAACGCTCTTACAAGGAGCTTTATCCAGAAACCCGACTAGGTCATGGTCCAGGTGATCCTCCGCTACTTTCTAGGGATCTATTCCTCCACTCTCTTCTAACAGCTCATGACCAAGACAGCCTCGACAAGCATGCCACAGATCCAACAAAAACACATCAAAATTTAGTCTCGCCTCTCTGTCTTTAAGCCTGGTCCCAGCCGTCCTGCATAGGTCTACCTCCTCTACTTCCCACACATGTCACATGGGGAGAATCAAACGAAGCCCCTCAACTTCTCAAGCATAATTTCTGGAAGGGAAGACCTCGCTCGAGTACGGACCCAAATGAGACAGAGCATGCGCTGAAGACCTTAAAAGCACACCTCTCAAGCACACCAAGGCCCCAAACAATCTGCATCCATGACACGCAAGAATTCAACAAATTCGGCCCGAATGTTCCGAGATGCCCCCATAGTATGCACTCCAAGGTCAGGAAATTCCAGTCTATGGGATTAGGGTTTAGGATTTGCAGTTTAGGGTCTACGGGCTTCATCTGAGCTATAGTCTAAACTCCTTAAGGGGGGTTATATAGGGGACTATATAGGGAACTACTATAGGGGTTATTAAGGGGGATACTAGGAGTCTAGACTATAGCTCATCTCTTTGCTTCAGCTTCAAGGCTACTGCCAAGGTTCACAGGCGGTATCGAGGACAGGAACCCGCCCGACAGCGCCAAGATGTGGAAGATGAGAGGATGTCCCTCCCCCAAAGCCTGAATCCAACAGATCCAGCTGATAACACATAAAGATACATTCAGAAAGTATCTAAAAGTACTGAGGTTCTGACAGTCCGCACTATCCCCATCTCACTGCAAGTCTTGCTTCTGTACAGCTTTCTTCTGAAAACCCGTCGACCCAGAACTGAAGCGCGGAAGTCCTAAGCCTGGGAAACTCCTAGACACAAACCAGTCACCGGCTTTTAACATGCCCGGGACCTGCTTCATGCCATCATGCCAGGGTGCAAAGAGACAGAACATTGGCAGCATGCCGCCCCAGACAGTGGCACCCATGAGCCAGCCCTGCAGGCTCTTGTCCTTCCTCAGCTGAGTATCCAGTAAAACGTGTGAATGCGCGTGTTGTGCATGCCAGAAGCAGTTTTGCGCAGCACGCCTGCTGCAAATGTCAGTCTGTCGGATTCTCTTCCAAGTGTTTACACTAAAAGCCTTCTGCATCCAGGGCTCTTGTAAAGGTGGTTCCCCAGCTTTCCCCCGGTAACAGTGCCAGTGGTGCAGCCGACCCCAAAGCTAAAAAGCACGGCCGTGGCCCCAGGGACGCCCATATGGCAGTTGGTAGCCAGATAGTCGGCCATGAAGGTGCCGATGACGGCCCAAGGCACACAGCCAGTGATGCCTGGGCTTTTCTTGACTGGCATGAAAGACTCCATTTATGAGGGCTTGGCTGAAATTCTTTATTCCACATTCTTTGCAAGCATTCTCCCCAAAAAATCAAGAGGCCCTGCAGGCAGATGCAGAGGACCGTGGGTTTCAGAAGCGCCTGTCGTGAAGAGGGCCGGGAGCTTGGCTGCTCCAATAAAGCCGGTTGCGAATCTCCCTGATGCTGACTTCGAGGCTCCACGTGGATGCGCACGAGAAGGGCTGTGACACCCCAGCCCATAATTCCGACCAGGGCAAAAGGTGCCCGCCAACCAAAAGCAGTGCCGACGAAGCCAGCAAGCGCCTGGCCGACGGAGAGGCCGAGGCCCGAGATGATGGAAACCATGCTGATAGCCTGTGGCCGCTCTCCCGGGGGGTACATGTCTCCGATCAAGGCAAAGCTTGCAGGGATCAAGCCGCCCATGCCAGCACCAACGGCACCACGGCAGCACAGCAGGGCCGGGAAGCCCCTAACCTGGGAGTTCGCGAAGGTGCCGCTGGAGCCCACCAGCATACAAAGGCAAACTAAGGTGGTCCTCTTCGTGCGGTCCGCAAGGCGGCCTACTAAAAGCGAGAAGAAAGCCCCGACTGTGAAGAAGACCACGCTGACCATACCCCCCAGCTTCTCGTCCCTCTCAGCATCGCTAAATCCGAACTCGCGTGCTACGGCGGTCATGTTGGTGGGGAGCAGCGGCTGGTCTGCAACCAGCATCATCTGTGCCAGCGCCAAAGGGAACAAGCGTCGATGTTGCCAAAACTCGGCAACGACTAGACGTAGAAATCGCAGAAAAGCGTGGAGCCCACGCCTCAGCCAGGCCAACCTGTCGCTGGCATGGGCATTAACACCCTGACCTTCGCCATCCGCCCGGCTCCTCAGCAACATCAGCAAGGCATCAAGCTGAACTTAAGTAATCCAACACAAGCATAATTTCTGATCATCTTGCCTGATGATCCTTTTGTAGTTTTCTCATCGTATTACCCCAAAACCCACTCAAAGTCAAGGTTCTCGGGCTTTTGGCTCAGCTCGATGGGCATCCACCCTGAGCCACCGTGAAGGGTGCCCGCAGCCCACGGCTCCACATTAGAAGCATAGACTATAAAAGAACCATAGCAGGAATAGATATAGGCTACATCGGAGTAGTTATGGTAGTAGGAATAACAACTGGGGCATGAGAAGCCTGCAGGCTCCGCAATATGCATGAATTCGAGTTGAACAGGAATTGTGGAGGCACATCCCTCTGAGCCGCACGCTTAAATGCATCATGCAGCACTAAATACCTGGAACGGGTATCAACCATGAACAGCTAGCTGTTTCTACGACGGAACAAGTTGCTTACATTTGAGGAGCTGCCTCTTCTAGGTTCAGAGCATTGGGAATGATGCACATTTGAAGAGTACAGCATCTTTGGCATTGGGCCCCGTTCGGTCAATCCTGTGGGAGAGTTGGGCAGTTATCTCCGGTCCTGGTGAGCTGACTGCTGGGTAAGTCATGAACGTTCCGCATCCTGGCATGTAGCAGATCAAGGAGCTTAGATTCCCAGCCTGCAGCCCAAGGCTACAACACCTCCTTCAAACTCTCAACAGGCATTGATGTGCACAGCGCACTGTGTTGGCCCTTTTCAGACACGCAGAATATCTCGCTAGTGCGTTGCGCAGCCACTCCGCCAACGCGAACGGCGCACACTTGTTCGGATAGCGGTGCAAGCAGGCAACGCATGAAGCCCGGGAAGCATCTGGCACCATCGAGGCTCAATTGTGCCGAATGTGAATTCATTGAGGCCTACTTGTCGAATTGTTATCGTCATCCTAAAGTAAATAGAATCTGCCGTTTTTCAAAAGAAAAAATTGTGTCATCTCAAACGGATAGATAGAATATTTGGGGAAAATTGTTATTGACCTGAAAATGGAGCCCTTAGACCTATTCCTGGCTGTTTGTATTTGGGGGCGGGTCTATCGAGGGTTTATAAAAGGGGTCATGAGATCGTTTCTGTAAGCTTTTGCCCTCTTTAAGCAGGCTTGTACAAGGTTCAAACCGCTTGCGGAGGATGTTCTATGAAAGGCTTTACACAACTTTATACAGGGTTTGGAGACGTAGAAAGTTTTTGTAGATGGTTTTTAAAAAAATGACCACAGATGCATAACTTGTATAGAAGTTATATACAGGGTAAGAAGGTTTTCTGGAGGGTCTGTGGAGGCCTCAGAGAGGTTTATAAAGTTTCATTGGGGGACGTTAGGTGTGCCAAACAGATAGATAGAATATTTGAAGGCTGTATAGCGTTTTATGGGCGGCTTATAGAGGTACCAAACAAGTAGATAGAATATTTAGGGCAGAATTGTGTGGAGCCAAAAGGTTTGCAAGCATCTGAAGGCTTGCAGAGGGCTCATGGGTTTTATAGTGAGCTTTCCAAGGTTCAGCAGGGTTTCTCCCTTAAGGGGTCTCTTGGTCCCTTTTGCAAGGTCGCAGCAGCCCCTTTACCCCCCCTTTAGAAGGTCGTATAGTTATATAAAATCCTTGTAGATATCACTGCAGAGAATAATAACTAATGACTTAAAGAGCCGTATAGTTTTTAAAGCATTTGATAGCCCTCTTTTGAAGGTCGTAGCCCCCCTTAAAGAAGGTCTTAATGCCCCGTTTTGGAAATCTTTTACTCTTTAAAGAATCTTTAAAAAGTCTTGGGCTGGTATTTTTGAATGGATTATTCATCCTGGCTAGACTCCCATGGCATATTCTATCTATCGTTCTGCAAAATCCCGATTTTCAAACAGAACCCTCCCAAAGATCTAATTCTCTCTACCTAGGATGACTATATCAGCTTGGAGGTTTGCTGTGAACCTGAGAACACAGTCGGAAGCAACATCATACACAGTACTCACAATCCTCGCTGGAGGCTTCTGTCCTGCCCTTGCAGCATGCGCGACTGATCGCATGGTTAAAGATCACAAAGGTCTGCCCCCGAGTCTGCTCCTCGAGTATAAGCTGAGTGTTGCGAACTGACCATCTTGCTGCCACCATGCCTCCTTCGCCTCCGAGATAAATGACGCTTTGGAAAAGTCGAAAAGTCACGGCAAGGGACGCTAGGGCTCACTGGGTTCACGGCATTGCGCTGCGCGGCACCGTGGAGGTTCTTGTGCGCCGGGTGGCTGCTAAGACAGCAGCACCCGGCCCATTGATGGAGACCTGTCTTTTTTGAGCCAAAGCTTTTGCTCAAGGGCGAGGCAAAGTGACTGCTGGACAGCACAAAGCGACACCAGCTGCAAGACCAAGCGCATGGCCAGCCACTCATGCAAAACAGGCTCTGGGACAACCTGGCAATTGACAGGCACGCAAGCAATTTTGTCTGATTAGCTCCGAACCGGCCTTAACATGCGCGCCGCATTCCTCCCAAAGCCTAGGTGCCATTATCTTGAAACAAAACGTCCACAATGTCCAAACGCAACATACAGTAGCACCCGGCCTTGATGTTTTGGCCATTCCGGCCGATGATGTTTCCTATGATGCTGTTCGCCATCAGGAGCTTCAGCGCAACCACCTTTCGGCAAATAACAAGTCTTTGAGCCTTTGCTCGCCTTGCATTGCTGAGGTCTGTTCCGACTGTTCTGCACAAAAAGCATGCTGTAACAACTGGACATGAGCACAGTAGATTCAACATAGATGACATCTGGACGCGAGGCCTTACCTTGAAACGGCTTGCGAGGGTGCCGTGGAGGCAAAGAACGCCTACAGCAGGCGACATGTCTCCTAGAAGCATCGTAAATTGGTTGAAAAACGCGGGCAAGCGTGGCCCGATTGCCCTGCGATCTGAGCGGAGCAGTGTGACGGATGGTCCTCGCGATTAACGTACCGGGCTTCGTTCTGCAGCGCAGCATAAAAGTTGGAGCAAGCCCCTGACGTCCTCAATGAACACATCCACAGCTGTGCCACCTTGCACCGTGTATCCAATGTCTTGTGATCGCAGAGTTTATCTGCGTGGAAGGTTGGGAAACTGCTCGGATATTGGCACAGGATACGTGCCAGGCACCAGCCTGCTCAGGCTGCCGGCTTTCGCATTGGCTTGCTTCTCAGTCAAGACCTTGCTACTGCCACTGGACGGCCTGACAGTCTGTCAGTGAGTCAAGCTCAGCAAAAGAATTTGTGGTTACGGCCTCGATGCGAGCCTGAAGGCTGGCACTACCACAGCTCTACCATCCCCTTCCTCAGACACTGTTGAGGAGCAACTCAGGGCATAGTCTCATCAATTGGCGGGTCTGTGTCCAGGAGCTGACTTTGTGGTTGTGGGTGGGCACATCTTGAGGTGCCGGTGGACAGTCAAAAAAACAGAGCAAACACGTTGAAGAACAAAAGAAAGACTGGCTGAGCGCGAGCGCAAATTCGGCAGTGCCCGGCGTCGAGCCCAGCTTACCTGACCAAACAACGAAATCTTAATTGGCGGAGACATGTTAAACACGACTGACACCCTTCACCCGTAAACACATACTGCAATGCATCCAGGATGCTGAAGGGCGGAGGTTGTGGTGCGCCACCACAGCCGCCACAGGTAGCTTGGCACCACAGAACTCAAACAAAGTCTTGCCCGCAGACGGCTTTGCAGAGCTTTGCTGGCATACAGCATTCGTGGCCCATGCCAACAGAAACGGCAATGCCTGACAAGCGGGAGTCCTGCAACAAAACCGAAATGGCCAAAGGCTTTCTCCCAGCTCCTGCGGCTCTGACGGGGCACTGCCAATCATTGACGCTGCAGTGACCATAGGGGTGCACTTAATAAAGCTGCTGAACCAGGCTGCCGACGCAAATAACTGGCAGCAAACAACATGATAGTGCAGACATCCACAAAAAAGTACTGTAGTTTACGTTTACGCTGGATGCTGCTCCTTGAAGCTTTACCAGCGCGCGCACACGCACAGGCACACGCACCCTAAACCCTTAAAAGAGATGTTGGCTGGCAAGCCCTAAACCTTAAAAGGAAATGTTGAGTGGGAAACCTCAAATCCCAAAACACGTGGCAGGCGCCATACTTCAAGGTGTTCCATGTGGCAAGCTCTGAACCCCAAAAGGAAATATTATGTAGGAGATGTTTGTTAGGAAAACCACATACCCTAAAAGGAGATGTTGGTTGGCAAGCCCTCGACCCTAAAAGGAGATGTTGAATCGCAAGCCCACGATGCTGTGCCGGGCAAGTTCCGCACCGTGCGCTTCCAGATGCTTCAGCATCTTGCAAATTTTGCTTACAAGTAGCCATGGCTTAGCCAAGGGCTGAAAAATGATTGCGCTGGGCACGTGGGAGGGAGAAAATCCTGCAAGCCTGCTCCCCCTAAGGAGCGCGTGTCTCCTAAGAAGGGGATGGCTGAGAAAATCGCTGACTTTCAAGCGAATGATCGACAGTTTATCAGCTTAATGAGCCAATCTATCCGGATCTTCACTAACAAGGACAGCATTTAAAAGCTCTTGAGAACTGATCCTGACTGATATGCATCAAACTGCCACCCCCTTCCCGGGAGTGCGCATGGCAGGCAAGCTAATCCCTCCGTATCTCCCAGGCATGAGGCAAATACACGCGCAACTGAGGGTAGTTGTCAAACCTAATGGTACGAAGCAGGCTTGCACGAGGCTTTCATGGTATCAACGGAGCCTAAGGCATCCTAAAACATGCCAGCACAAGTAGAGATTTGCTGGCATCGGCGGCTTTATGGCTTTATGTGAACAGTCTTATTGCAACC